TACTATGTTAACATTTTTGTTTTCTGGGCAGGATCTGAATCATCGACCACTAGAATATTCACAGGGAACTAAATGCGATTTATTCTCACAGATTATTTTTTTATTTGTTTTTACTTCTATCGGTCACTAATTTACACAATTTAAATTTACATGCTTTAGTATGCACTGTTTTCTATGTGAGAACTAAAAATTCATATATTTTCTTTGCAATTTCCGGTTTAAAATAGACAGAAAATCGTTTACAAATAAAAAAATATTAAAAACTAGGACTCTGTGTTCAACGCAGTAATGATCGAAGAAATGGCGAATTAACTAGAAAAAAATTGGCGCATACGCCATAATTAGTACTCAAATAATTTTTATATAACTTTCACTACTCTATTTGTTGTCATTTGGCTTATATGATTGTTCCATTCTACTCTTCTATTTCTTACCTAGTTTTTGATGTTCTCCACCTTGCATCTACTTCGTATATGCTGTAACACATAACCACCTGTTTGAGTATTTATTAAAGTAAATCGTAACTGTCCATAAAAAATAGAGATATAAATGATTGGCCTAATAGCGGGTGAGCGGTATGTGTTGATGTGCGTCCGCCGTATCATGTCATGTGAGGGTATAATGCCAGGGCAACGATGCTAAGCCGGAGTAATCCTATCATCCGATAGTGTCATGTCATTCTGTCACGGCTAGCCTCTCCCCTACCCTCTAACCTCTAACAGATACCGAGCCACGATTGGATCTGAGAATGGGAAGTAAAAGACTTGGTTAGGTCGGGAGGTTTGGAGAATTGTTGGAGCGATGCGTTGTTATATGGGAAGCTGAAGGCCTGACAAGGGTCAGTGTAATATGTCGATGCAAATTGATCAAACGAAAAAATCGCTCTTTTCGACTGTTTTTACAGATTAAATTTAGACCAATTAATTACATATTACACACCATTAACAATTTATATACATTAACACGGACATCAATAATATACACAGTCCAAAAAAGTTAATTTTTATTAGTTAAACTCTTATTTTCATCAGATTTATTATTTTATTTTAGCAAACAGCTGTTAGCACTTAAACCTGAACCAAATCTTTTTATTAGTCATCGACACAATTCCTATAACTTTCGCAGTATTTTTATTTCCCCAATTGAAGATTTTATGCAGAAATTCAAAGCACGAATGCATTATTATGCATATTAACGAATGCGTTAAGATATTATAGATTTGAAGAAAGCTAAACACAACATAAATAAAATATCTAAGCTAAGAAAATTCTTGGCAAAAGAAAGATAAATAAATTGTTCTTAGAGTGAAACACTCCACTCTACACAGATATGTAGGAAAAATGTAATGAAAAGAAAAAAGTTTACCAGAAATACATAGAAACATGAAAACCTCTTGTTCATGTTTTAACGAAGAATCCTAAAACAAATATTTTGTGGCTTCTGTGAAAACAGCATTTGCAGAAACAGGTGCAACTATGAGATATACCACAAATATAAACAGATATCTGGTGGCAAAGACATTATATCTCTTAAATAAATAAGAAGACTAAATCGGGCAGAACATCTAGTAAGATGTTTTACAGCCGTTGAGAAGTAGATGGAGAAGTAGGCCAAAATTTGGAAGATGGAAGTAACACAATGATGACTAATACAAAAGAAGCGTAGGACAATCCCAAAACAGTAGGAAATAAAACATATGCTCTTGTCAGTGGAATCAAAAATATTAACTAAGAATATTTAAAAGAAGATACAAAGAATTAATACATAAGAACTAATAGATAAGGCATTTATAGGGATAAGGCATAGATAAGACGAATAAACATTTTGAACACTTGATAAAGTAACCATTATGTTAAAAATGTTGTAATCTATCAATTGTTACGTTTTAATATAGTTGAAAATAGTATTAAAAAATTTATTGAGACAATTAGGCGTTGCCAGAGTTCTGTTTTATGTATTTAAGACCTTTCAGACTATATAAAATCATAAGTGTTACATATGGTTGAACTCGTATTGAATATAGATAAATTCACATTCAGATGGCAGCGTTACAGAGATAGGCCTGTACTTTCTATATGCCAGAAATAACTACATTGTTGTCAGTTTTTAATCGTACCTACAATCGTACGTTATGGGCCGGCTCCTATAAAAGAATTATAATTTCGGAAATATTAGTGAATATTTCCGAAATTATATAAATTCCGTAATTATATATAGTATTATAGTGAATGCAAAAAAGTAGTGTTAAATGTTTTTAACTATTTATCAAACAGTCTTCTTCTTTCAGTGCCTATTTGTTCCGAATATTGGCAGGGAAACTTGAATTTGACTGTACAATATATATATATATATATATATATATATATATATATATATATATATATCAAACAGTAATAATGATAAAAGTGTATCAACAATAGTGCGGGAAGTTTCTGCTATGACTGGAGTCTCTGAGCGAACGATATTCCGATATAGAAGTGAAAGTAAAAATGGTCCACTCGTAACTCCTATAAGAAAAAAAAGAACCGGTTATTTGAATAGTCGTGAGAATAGATATGATGAAGCAACTCGGTCTAGAATAAGACAAGTAGTGCACGGTTTTTTATGGACAATATTTCTCCAACCCTTGACGTAGTACTAGAAAAAATTAAGCAAATGGAGCATCTTCCGAATTTTTCCAAGAGTACGTTGAGAAGACTATTGCACGACATGGGTTTTATATATGGCAAACAAGGTAGAAATTCAATATTAATAGAAAACCAAGAAATAGTCGCTTGGAGGCGTCACTACCTCCGGGAAATAAAGAAACTGAGGAACGAAGGAGCCAATATCATTTATATGGACGAATCATGGGTTAATACTGGAATAACCAATGGGCAAGTATGGCAAGATACAACAATAAAAAATAGCCGACAGGCTTTCGTAAATGGACTTACTACAGGTTTAAAAACTCCGACCGGAAAAGGACCAAGATTTGTTTTAGTCCATGCAGGAAACAAAGACGGATTTGTTGAAGGTGCTGACATCACTCTTCTTGCCAAAAAAGGTGCTGAAGATTACCATGAAGAGATGGACGGAGATCTATTTGAAAAATGGTTTGAAGAGATGTTAATACTGAATCTCCAAAAAAAAATAATGTCATTATCTTGGACAATGCATCTTATCACTCTAGGAAATTAAATTTTCCCAAACAATATTGGGTGAAACGTCAAATTAAGGAGTGGCTCTATGAAAAGGACATTTATTTTGAAGAAGATTACTTAAGAAATGAACTTCTGGAAACTGCTAATGTATTTAAAAATATTTATGACAAATACAAAATTGATTGTATTGGTGAAAAATACAGGAATCACAATAGAAATGGTGTGGAGTGAAGTAAAACGGTACGTGTCCTCTAAGAATTCAAGTTTCAAACAAAACGACGTTAAAACATTGATTTATGAAGGTTATGATAAAGTACAGAACAATGGACATTGGAAAAATTACGTCAACCATGTTATAAAATTGGATAATAATTTTTGGACAGTAGACAACATTCAAGATGACATTGAACCTATTAGAATTTCATTAAACGATGACTCTGAAGATGAACTAGATTATGAAAATGAAGATGATTGAAAATTGTTTTTTGGGGGTATTCTTTTCTCAGTAAAGGTAATAAAATATTTAGTTGATCTGGTTGAAATGTAGCACATTTAAATAACTCATTAATCGACATAATTTCAAGTAGTTATATTAGACGTCATTATGCAAAAAATAAAGTTATGAACATTTAATAAATTAGTGCACAATTGAGGCCCCTAAAAGACAAGGGGTGTAAGTGCCAAAAACAAAGTTTTGAAAAATCTTTGTTCAAAGTTCGATATAAATTTAAAAACCTAGGTAGCACTTTTTCACTTTTCAGCATGTTTTCAATGACATATAATTTTTGATGGTGTTATTGTTGTTAATGTAGAAAGTTTGAAGCCAAAAGTACGTGCCTGTTGTTAGATATCAGTTGCTAAGTGATAAGCAACTGCACTTACACCCTTGTGTTCTAGGGGCCTCAATTAGGGGTTTTTTGCAATTATCTCAGTCATTTGTTTATGTATTTTAATTTACAAACTAAAAAATTAAAAAACTTTTTAAGAACTGCAACATTTATGTGAAACATTTTTCCCTAAAATGCACGAGGAATAAAATAGGCAAAAAAATGATTTTTTCCAAACTTCATCTTTCTTTAAAAAATAAACAAAGCAAAATTGGCTGTAATTCTTCAACGAATTATCAGCAGTTATCCCTTATCTACCGTTTAGAACATTAAAAAAACCTGTAGAATATTTTTCATATTTTTTTCCCTATTAACTGCGGTATTATGTATAAAAGCATTTTAGGAATTATTACCATTTATTTCATTCACGAATTTTCTATTAACAACTTTAGCTTACCTAAACATATCTTAGTTTGCCGTGAGTTTGGCCCTGCTTATTTTACAAAAGTAGCAAAACTTACAATAGCAGTAGAATTGGCAACGCTGTTATCCTATATCCGTACACTGCCATCTGAACGTGACTTTATCTATAGTAGATTCCAATAATGACTGAATATATACAGTGATGAATTTAAAAAACCAAAGTTACTAATAATATAAGAGAAATGGCAAATCTGGCAACATTTAAAATATCAAATATGGAATCTCCGTATCAAAAATAGCTGTACCTTAAGTTTTGTAAAATTTTGACTAGCAATTTACAAAATAATTGGTCGTTTCCAGACTTTTCAGCCACTCTGTATATTTTTTATTTGTTTCAGCCGTACAACACGAAAGAGGTCCTCGAAAACCAAAAATACAACACGCACCTTCTACTCAAATCCATCGTTCATCTACAATACCCCATTCCTTGCAACATCTTACAGGTCACAATGAACCGAAGCATTCTTTATCGAGTACTACTTCTGGTCCTACAATCCCCACAGGTTTCCATTTTACTCCTTCCGGATTATTTAACCCTCACCATCCTATGAAAAGTTTAACTATTCCTCCTCCCCCACCGCCCGTCTCTAGTCCAACGTTGGATGCTGTTACCGCCTTGCAGCTTCCACCTATGTTCCATCATCCTGCCATGCCTCCACCACCAGGATTGTTACATATTTTGATGTCTGCGGAAAAGTGTCAGGTAAGTTTAAATGTTATATTTTTAATACCGTTTCTCATAACATTAAGAAAATAATGTAAAGATGTTTGTATGCACAATAAATATATATTCTTAGTAGAGAGAACTCAGTCACTCCTGCTGCAAAAGTACCGAGATCAGCGGAAATAAGTGTATCTAGGTTTCATAGATTACGCTAAAATATTTGACTGGGTCAAATGTAGTGAGCTATTTAATATTATAGAAAGAAAAGGATTAGTCTCCCAATACCTAAAAATTATTCAGTACCTATATGAAGAACAGGTAGCAACAGTACAGTTTGAAGACACACTAAGAAAAACTTTCAATAAGATGCCAAGGCTGCGTACTGAGCTCTATACTACTTAACGTTTACTCTGATATCGTATTCCAAAACGAACGTAAGAGCTCATGAGATAGTAAAAAAGTGAATGATAAATAAATAAATAACTTGCCGATGACACAGAATACCGTTGTAATTGCAGATAGTGCTGAAAGCATTTAGCTCCTGCGTGACAAAATATGAGGAACATATGAGATTGGACAGGCTTGGGATTAAACGATTTACTGTGAAATACTCAAAACAGAGAAGAATTTGCTAAAATTGTTGCCGATCTTCGATAGACAACAGAACCCACACTTCCATTCCACTCATACGCCTCTTCAAGCTATTTCTGCAAAAGTTTTAATTAACCTTTCATAGAAAATTCCTACGAATTATTTGAATCCCTGTTTGTTAACATATTGTCTTGTCGAATTATTTTTTCTATTAGCTGTACATTTACTTCAGTACCTTCGCTCACACATTATTTAATATCAATTCGATTATCTTTGGAAATTGTAATATATCGCTTTGGATTCCGATAGACATTCGGATATAGAATTAGGGTTTTAAAGATAAAATAAACTTTTGAAAAGTAAATTTTATTTATTGTTTAATTGAGCAATACAATATTTTGCGGTTTCAAATATGAGGCGCCCAGAATAACAATGGTCTAAATCCACAAAAGTTGAAACTGAGATATTGAAGGTTTTGTGAAATCAATTATAGTTAATTCTGAAAATATCACATATGTACTGTAATTGGATTTTAATTAATATTAGATGTTTAGTTTTATAACAATGACACAAAATATTAAAATCTTGCTTGAATACTGAGTTTAAGTTGTGTTTTACAGAATAAAATTGGATGACTGTAATTACAGAATAAAATTTTTGTACCATTTTTTAAATGACTGATTTTTTTTCTTATCCTCAAAATATGGAACAAATTTATTTGAATGAGGTTTAATTATTGTCATTGTTAATAATTTCTGCATTTTAAAAATATCTAGCTGTGATATTGCATATAAATATGTATAATAAGTCGGTCAGATAGCTCAGCGGGCTGTGCGGCTGCCTCTCATTCGCTTCACTGTCGAATGGTTTAGTGGATGTGGGTCGAGCCCCAGCTCGGTGTACAGAAAACAAAAAGTCTAACGCAGCAGTTTAAAATTCTAGATGAATCTGCGGCTTAGACTAGGATATGCTGGGTTCTGATCGGCCTATGATGGAGCAGTACGGCAAGAGATAAGGGCTTGCGGCTCGGTGATACTTCTCCATAGATCCCTACCGGACAGGCGTAACGCCTAAAAAACCGGATATATATATATATATATATATATATATATATATATATATATATATATATATATATATGTATAATAAAATAATAAAGCAAAGTAATACAAAGAATTATTTATGTGCGTATTTATTATCTGCGTCGGCAGATTTCTTTAATAGTGATGAAAGATCGGAGGTATGTAAGGTAATAAGTCTAACATGTCTCTTTTTGCATCAGTGAGTGCTCTTCTGGATGGATACAGAGGACCTTGCTATACGTTGCACAGGTGTTTCATGAGTCCACCGCATCTCTTTTTGGAAATATCCACCGTATAAAACTCCATACATTAATTCAATTTTTCTTTAAACTGGAACTGTTGCTGATCTCGTTGAAAATGGAGCCATCGAATTTTTAACCAGTTGAATTTTTAACCGCAGATAGTTTTTTTTCTGTTTGTTACTCCGTTTTCCAATATTTCTGTGCTTAAAAATTCTTCTCGCTGCATTTCAGTGACGACAAAGTGAGGTTGCTTGATTTGCGTTAAGAGCATGTTTTCTGCTAGCACTCTCTATAATACTAAATTCTCTATCATTCGGCAAGTAGGAATGACCAGAAACTAGGAATTTCAAATCTATTATTTTAGTTCTTACGCCTGGATCATGTACAAGTTTTAACAACGATAGGCTTGTTTTAATGTTACTGTTTTGACCCGTACACGAATCAGAATCCGCAATTACATGCTCATAAGAAGAAACTTCTTGCTTTAGGTATTTCACTAAATATGATGCAATATCTTGCGATCCACGACCACCTTCAGTTTCATCCCATACATACATGTGTCCTGTTTTGTTATTCATGCAATGTATGCCAAAATTGTATATGTACAAATTCCTGTTATAATAGGCTACTAAAGTAGATAATTTTGGGTAGGGTAGCGCTTTCTGTAAACCAAATGTAATCACATAGGCTTCATCTATTTCTTTGAATCATTCTTTAAACTCTCTCTGGGAGTATCTGCTTTCCTTTGATGTAGATCTTTCTGTAGGAGTAATCCTTTCTTGAGTTGTTCTTCTCGTGTGGATTTTATTTTCAGCTTAAATTTATCACAAAACTTGAAGGTATCTCGGAGGGGCGGTTTGAAGTGCAAGTTAAATTTAATGTTGAAGACGTGGTAGTAGTACTTTAATTTCTTCGGTTCTCTATTCTCTGTGGCACATTTTTCTTTATAGAGATTGTTTTGTGCCACCTAAGGCCTATTAATTTTGGAATGAATAACTACACTTTACTAAATTTATTTATTATAATGTAACGACAAAACTGAACAAAAGATTCAAAAGAATATGTAGTATGCGTGGCGTGGTGATGTGAATTAGGTTAGATTAGAGTCTTTTTTCTTCTTCTTTTTCTTTCTGCGAGTCGTCGGCTGTCATAAATAGCGGCTGCTGTGGGCAGAAGCAGAACCAATGTTGCCAGCGTTGCCGGTTGTAAAAATAACAATATTCAAATACTTAACATAGCCGCCTCCCTTGAAGGCTGATATGCCTTTAAGCACAAGGCAACACACACAATTTAACTACTGGACGATGAATCACTCCAGTTGCAGTTTTCACCATTGCACTACGGATGACACCATCACTTCCGGGAAAGGTCGTTTGCACACGACCTAAAGACCATTTGAGAGGAGGAAGCCCATCCTCCTTGATTAGTACAAGTGTACCCGAAGTCAATACTTGGGGCTCTGATTTCTTCCATTTGTTTCGAGATTGTAGCTGTGAAATGTATTCGGATGACCATCTCTTCCAAAATAATTGAAGTCTTTGTTGGATAAGCTGATACTGGTTGAGACGATTTTCATTAACATCAAGCCAATTGTGGTCTGGTATAGAGAAAAGTGGCTCTCCTATCAAAAAGTGCGCAGGTGTCAGAGGACTAGGATCATTAGGGTCATCAGATAGGGGAGAAATTGGTCGGGAATTTAAACAGGACTCTATTTGAGTTAAAAGGGTTGAAAACTCTTCGAATGTTAAAATATTTTCACCGATACTACGGCGCAAATGATGCTTAGCCGATTTAACACCGGCTTCCCAAAGTCCGCCAAAGTGCGGAGAATTAGGTGGAATAAACCGCCAATCAATGCTTTCCTGACCAAGTCTAGTCTGAATCTCGCCTGAATTGATTTCAAAGAATTTCCTTAATTTATTTTTTGCACCCATAAAATTAGTACCGTGATCCGAAAATAATTTTCGACAAATACCACGTCGCGCTGTAAAGCGACGAAGTGAGGCTATGAAACATTCTGTAGTAAGGTCACTGACCAATTCTAAGTGTACAGCTTTGGTACTAAAACAAACAAATAGGCATATGTAGCATTTTTGGACCTTATAATTGCGAGTTTTTCTATCGCGTAACTTAAATGGGCCTGCATAATCAGTACCGCATATCGAAAAGGGTCGAGAAGGTCGCGTTCGATCAATTGGTAGATCTGACATCAGGTACTTAACAGTTTTAGCATTAAAACGAAAGCATCGAATACAATTATGAACGATTTGTTTTACTAAATTTCGACCATTTATAGGCCAGAATTCTTCACGAATTGCTGATAATGTGAGTTGAGGTCCAGCATGAAGAAGAGCAATATGTTTAGATTCGGCATAGAGTTTAGTGAGATGATGGTTTTTAGGAAGAATAGCTGGATGTTTTTTATCATAGTTAAAATGGGATTTACCCAAGCGTCCTCCAACTCTTAGGATACCTGAATCATCTATAAAGGGGTTTAAAGAAAACAAGCCATTAGAAGGATTCAATTTGTTCACCTTTAATGATTTAATTTCTAGGAGGAATGATTCATGTTGACAAATGCGAGTTAATTGTTTTAAGGAATTTCCCAATTCTTCGCATGTCAAGGGACCTAAGTCTCTATCGGAAGAACTGGTACGACAAAAACGAATAAAACGTAGTACATAAGCAAACACTCTTTGAAGTTTTCTAAGTGTGGAGTAATCATTTAGTTTAGCAATTTCTAGAAATTCTGTCACAGGAGATAAGGTGGTCATTAAAACCTTGGGTTTTGTTTCTGGGAGATTCTCATACGATGAAGGTACAAAGGTTTCATTAGATTCATAATCGAAGCTGCTCAGACATTTGGGGCCATTCCACCAAATATCGGAATTTATCAGCTCAAGTGTGGAAATTCCACGGGTTAGTAAATCAGCAGGATTTTCTTTTGTATTTATATATCTCCAATTGGTAGTTTTAGTTAAAGATTGAATCTGTGCCACTCTGTTTGCTACAAACACCTTTAATAGGTGAGCAGAAGTATTAATCCAAGATAGTGTTATAGTAGAATCAGAAAAATAAAAGATTTTGTCTACATGTAAGTGTAGAGAAGATTTTACCTTGTCCA